CCCCGCTCCCCCGTCCCGACCAGTGCCACTACCATCCTTACTTGCCTGGACTTTTGCAATGGCCTTCTCCCCTCCCATCACACCACTTACAGCAGCCTGGGGAATTCAGTCCCAACTGGATCCAGGCAAAGATTCTCTCTGCTTACAACCCTACTGTGGTTTTCTCAGTGAAGAAACCAAGGTCACCAACATGACCCACAAAACCCTACAGGTTCTGTCCTATTACTCTCCTTCCACTCCACTCTGTTCCAACTGCATCAACCTCCTTACTGCTCTTCATATATACCAAGAACTCTACTGCATCAGGGCCTTTGCACAATCTGGAACTCTGCCCAGACTGCTCTTCCTCCAGGCATTCCCATAGCTCACTCCCTCACATCCTATAGGTCTCAGCTGTCAAGTTGGTAAGGCCTTCCCAGTCTACTGTATTTAAAATTCCGTTTCACTGATTTTCCTGATACCTATTACCTTTGAACACATGACAAAGCTCAATCATTTACTGTCCTTTCCATTTGCTCTCACTGGAGTTATCGGCTCCATGACATCAGAGACTAGTGGGGTTCTATTCATGCATGTTTTCCCAACAAAACAGGTGCTCAATAAATGTGTGTTGAATGAATGGTTGACTGAAAAATATGAACTGGACAGTTGCGGAGATGAGAAGACAGAGGGTGGACAGCAGACATGACACTGAAATGGTGACACAACTGAAATGGTGACACTGAAAGGGTTGGGGAGAAGACAGAGGCAGAGAGCAGGCAGCAGAGATGGGGAAAAGTTGAGAGGGGGGGAAAGGAAGGGAGTAACTGCAGAAGTGGAAGTCAACCGAAGTGGGAGATACAGAAGAGGACATGCCCAGGGCCTCTGCTTGGCCTCCCACCCCTGCTGTTTACCATCAGGAGCCCCGTCGCACACCACAAGGTCCGCAGGACAGCCCTCAAAGTGCTGAATGATCTCCTTGGCAGTGGAGAGCTGTGGAGAGAGGGAGGATGAGTGGGTCCAGGCCCATCCACTGCTTCCCTTGAACTCCACCTCACAGGGCCCCGGCCCACAGCCCCTGGATCAGCCAAATCCTCAGGCTTTCCCCACCTAAGACGGGGCTCCATCTTTAGGGAGCCAGCCTCATCATTTTTTGCTGTCTCTCTGTGATAATGATCCTGGTAGTCAGGATCTAGGTATGTGTGCTCAAGGAGGTCCAGGACACGAACTCAGGACCTCTGCCATGGAAGTCCAGCTGTGCCACCACCTGGAACACCCACTCCCCATCTTCCTATCATTCTGTCTCTCTTCTGCTTTCTGTAGTCTCCAGGTGGGGGCCTTCACTCAAGATGTACTCCAACACCCTCAGTTATACTCTCACCTGGGTGATGTCCCCCTGGATTTGTATCACACCTGGTAGTGGAGCCATAGCCTGTAAGTCCACAGCCACCACATGGCCAGGTCCCTGGCCCCTGTGGACAACAGGGCTCATGTCAGTCCAGTTTCATTCCTGTCCCCAATCCCAGCCTGCCCTCCTGGGCCCTCCAGCTTCCCCCCCTCCCCACCTCCAGCCCCACTCACCCAAACTTCTGGCTCAGCACCTGGCTCCAGCTGCCTGGGGCTGCACACAGGTCAACTGCCCGTGCCACACCTGGGCACACACAGGGAAAGTGACTGGTTAGTTGCACTTTACTTCTCCACCCTGGAGATTCTGCAAAGTTCACCCCTCTCCCCTGGTGGACACCCACATCTGTCTACTTTTAGGTGCCCAGCTCCTCTCAGGTATTCTTCACATCTTCCTGCCTGTCTCCCTGCCCTAGAGACCCTCCAAATCAGCCCACTTACCACAGGGAGCTCTGCAGACCCACCCCAATTGTTTTTCCCCTGTGCCCACTCCTTCATGCCCCAGTGATGTGCCCGCTAGTTAGAGACCTTGGAAGAGCTGGAATTCCTCATCGAGCTGTAGCAGCTTGAAGGCACTACGAGCACGCCAGCCGTTCTCCTTGGCCAGGCGGTAATAGACATCTCGCTTGTCCTTTGACGTCCGTCCCATCTCATGCACTGCTTGCCTAAGGAAGGACCTGCCAACAGTCAGCTGATGCCGCCCTAGATCAGGAAGCAGAATGGAGGGGAGAACCACACAAACCAAAGTGAGCTCCCCTGACCCCACATGACAGCTCACTCAGCAGATGGCAAGACTGAAGTACAGACACTGGCCCCACTGATTTTAGAGGGCCTGAAAGACTATTCTTTTTTTGTTTTGGAGAGGTTTTTGCTATAGGGTGCGTGCGCTTGCCAGAGAGACAGAGAGGCAAAAAGTGAGAAATCACCCCCTGGGGGGATGGCCACGCTGCAATCCCTTCTCCTCCATTCTCCTCTCAGTATCTTGGGGACGCACGCACACACGCCCGACGTGAGTTTAAGCCACCGGGTCTGGGACATGAACCACAGTCGACCACACGGGAGTCCAGCGACATAGCCTTTATGCTAACTGCTGGTCCCAAGGACTCTATTCTTGAGCTCTTAGTCTCCACTTCACTGCTTATCACAGTGCCCACCCCCCCCACCCCCAATCACTTACTCCACAGTTCCCTCAAGACCCCACAAACATGGCATTTATAGAGGATACACTAGTGACCCTGTCCACCTCTCATCACTGTCACCCACACTCCACACATTACACCCTGTGGTTCTCACTATCAACCTTTCTCTGTCCACCTGACACTGCACAC